CGGCGAGGTCCGGCCGGAGCCCCCGCTGCTGCGCTCCACCGGTGGGTTCGGTACCCCGGAGGGTTCGGTAGCCCGGGAGGTGCGTGTCCTTGCCTGCAGCTTCCCGCTGCATTCGCGCTGACCATCGCTGTCCCTCTGCATCACAGTTTGCTCTTGCACAGTGAAGCCGAAGCTGCTTTACACGCAGAGAGGGAGAGGGAAGAAGAGAGAGCGTAAGGAGGCAGTAAAAATGTCCAATTCCTGTAGAATAAAGTGGTAAACACATAATATGATCCCTTTCCTCTGCGTGTGTCGCTGGCACACGACTCCAGATACCCGCTGTGTCCGTTGTGTGTGTTAACAGACACCCTTGGCCTGCCAGCCCCCAAGTTAGTTTGGGGTTTTCCGAGTCATCTCTCCTTCCAGCCGTCGGTCCGGCGGGTAAGGCAGGGTACCACCACCCTCAGCGCTGCAGGCAGGGTGGTGGAGATGTCAGGAGCCTTTCTGCCGTTATCATCTGCAATTCTACAAGAATTACGGTTCTTAAAGCGCAACTGCTATTTTTTGCTGTGTTTTAAAAAATTCTGTGACTAAGAAAAGTAGCCGAGGTATTTTGGCATGGAAGTAACAGTGATTTAGTGCACCTTTATCATTTGGTTTGAGGCAGGTTTTTCTCTCTTACTTTCTTGGTTTTCTGTTGTTTTTTTTTTTTTCTCCTTGCTGTGTTAATCACTCTGGCTTCCAGCACCGTGGAAAAACTTTCTTCATTTCAAAATGTGATGGAGAGTGTTCGGTACACCGGCTTTCATACTGTATGTTCCAAGATGTATTGTTATTTAACCGTCTACTACAAGAACCACCCCCAAAGTAGTGAACTCCTGCAGAAAAATTACTTGCCTATTAGAAAATGATTCATGCCGGTCCTGAGCGCGGCAGCTCTCTTTCACCAACATCCCTCTCGAGGCGTGAATGCCCAGAGCGGGCAGGGAAATGTGTCTGTAAAGTGTTTTAGCGGCGTGGGGAGCCCAAGGGGTAGCTGTCACTGTTTCCATTCTCTGAACAATTTTAATGCCATTAGCAAGTGTGATTATGTACAAACTGCTTTCTAGGGGGTTCCTAGGCTGGATATCAGAGCAGGGCTTTGTACCGAGTCAAAGGGTGGATGGAGTTTATGACACAGTTTAAACAGAAACAGAAGGGCAGTGCTACAGTAGAGCAGCACGTCGTAATTCATTCGGTGTTGTTCTGTGAGAGCCGTTTGGGGAAGTACTTGCTTCTCACCGGTTTGTTCCGTTTGAGAGCATCTTTCGGAGTCACCCACGAGTAAGCAGCTGAAGATTGAGAGAGCTAAACTGTTTTTTTTCAGCTTTTTGTTTTAAAAAGGAAAAGGAAAGAAGAGGCTAATTGGTAGGTGTCTCTTTAAATGCAGGCTGCTTTTTAAATTCCTTCATTTTTCTGCTTAACCACTTTATTTTTTAAAGAGGAAAGACCTATATAGAAATAGGTACTATTCACTAACTTGGCATCTTGTTATAAATAAGATACATTTATTTTATTTCTTGCAGCCCGGAGCTGATTTAGTACCAGTTATGTCCCCAGATAAGACGTAATTACGAAGACTTCAGTAAATGCCGTGGTTTGTGAGCACTGTTTAGCTTCTATGGTCAGGTGTAAACTCACAACTCTGTTTTATTGCTGGGCTTTAATAACTGAAATAATAGAAAAGTTCTGTAGTTGATGAGGAGGGTTTTCTATCCCATATACCTGCAATGTGATCATAGCACAGAAGCAGCTGGGGAGGGGTGTGGGAAGGCTTGCTTAGAGCCATGGCGTAAGTACTGCTTTACAGTGCACAGCACAAACACAGGTACCATCTTCTGAAGCCTTTTTTGGGGAACCAACTTGAGTCCCAGCTCCTGTCTGGTTCTCTTTACAGGGCGGCTGCCCTCTGCTGTCTGAACTGCGTTGGGAAGTGCTGGCGTCTGCCGTGCGGATGGGAGGGCAAGTTGGAGGGAGAGGTGATTTCCCAGCCGTGATGATGCTCTCCGAGGAAGGAGAAGTCGTTGGGCACACAGTCCCTTTGTCGGGTCGCTGCACTGACAGGCGCAAGGGAATCTTTCTGCTTGTGCAAATAACAGCTGACTGGAGACTTAGAGTTTTCCCCTGCCAGCTAAAGGCCAGCGTTGGCTCTGTTAGCATGAACTAGTTAGCAGGCTGGATGAGGCTTGGAGCAACCTGGTCTGGTGGAAGGTGTCCCTGCCCATGGCAGGGGGTTTGGAACTAGATGGTCTTTAAGGTCCCTTCCAACTGAAACCATTCTGTGATTCTATGAATGGGTTTTAGATCCAAGGAGTGGCCTGAGTGGTGCAATTTAGGTAGAGATTCCATCTACTAGCAAAGTTTCAAAGGTAGTGTGTGAGAATCACGTTGGTGTGAAGCAGATGACAGCAGACTGCTTATAAATACGTACTCTAAATAATGGGATCTGCTGCCTGATGCACAGCATAACTAATTTAGTCAGTTCTCAGCTTCTAACTGGGAGACCAATAAACATTGCTGCATACAGCCCTCACTGTCACAAGTACCAGGTGACATTGTCTCTGTGGGGATGGAGTGGTGTCATTTGACCCTGTACCTTCTTTTTCTGTGCTTTCCCAGTCGCTGTTATGCAGCAACTGTATCTGATACACCGCAAGTGTTCCTGGGCCATCCTTACACCACCGTGAGACTATCACATTTGATAGCTTGCAAAATCCAGCCACATCAAATATTCATCTCTGCCATGGAAGGAGCCAGAGGAGCTGATGGTTTTCCTTGAATACATAAGCAAGTGTTTTCCAATTTTGGGCCATCCAAGATTAGGCAGTTCTGATTCATGTTTAAAATGGCCTGTATTTTCCAGCATGACTTGCCTGTTAGGTATAAAGCAAAACAGTCTATACAGCTTAACCCTTCTAGAAAAAATACGTCCTTTTAAGCATGTCCTGCTTGTTAATGAAAAAATTACCAACAGAATGCCTGGTCGCTGCTGGAAGAGTCAATACTTGCCTCTGTGGGCATCAGTAGCATCAGATCTCTTCATCTACATCTGTTTTTTAGAAGGAAATGTTTTGATACCCTGCATAAGTCAATTAATATTTTGAACATTGTGTGCTTAATTATAGCCTCCATTCCCAAAGAGGATGCTACCAGCAATGGAAGAATCCAGGCCCAACATTTACGTTGGACTTCTTTGGACTTTAGCAGTCTGTAGCTTCTGAAGTCTTTTTTGGTGCAGCTCAGGGATGGGGTATTCCTACAAAAAGCATTGGAGAGAAGGATTTTTCTTCTTTTATTCTTCGATAGCTGTGGTCATCTCCTGCGTGATTTGCTTTGGTTTACTCATTTGAGGTATTTCAGGAATGATCTTGCAGTTATGATCAGTGTAACCTCAGCAGGGTCTTAAATATGTGTAAGCTCAACATAATTGTGAAGTTTTGTTTGAATAAGCTTTGTATGAGGGAGACCCTGCCTGCCTTTCCTGCCCAGGGCGCAGTGCCTCCTGCAGCGATTCAGCTGTATGGCTAATTTTCAAATAAACTAAAGTTACACATTTCCTTGACACAGTCCTAGTGCACGCTGTTCTCTGCCGTCGGAGGCACTCTGCCTGTGGTTCATAAACACATTCACAGTCCCATTTGCCTCCCTGTGCTCAGAGGGGGTTGGTTTGCATTTCTAATTAATTGAGTTTATAAAGGAATAAGCTAGTACGTTGACTGAAAACCCCCTCAGGAACTGTAAACTTAGTTCATTAGCTGCCCTCGTGTAATCATATCACCCTTTCTCATGTAAGCCTAGGGGAGAGTGCATGCTACGTGGGGCAGAAACCTGCCTCTGGGATGAGCTGCAAGGGGAAGCGAGTCTCCGTGCGGCCCTGTCCTGCAGCTCCGCTCCTGTTCCGGTTACCTTCTATGTCCCCCGGCCCCTTCCTGTCACCAGCTTGATGTCTCTGGGTAAGACAGCAGACGGTGTGGGGTGATTGAAGGACCTTCCAGTGGAGTCAGAGAGGAGCTGGGAGCTTTCAGAGAATACTGTAAGGCAGACATACTTACTCTTTGCAGGAGTTACGGTTTCTGGATGCAGAAATTTACATGGAGTCGGCATTTTCTTTAGACCATGTGAAGCACCACTGTTGTCAGCTGGGACTGGGTGGCTCAGCACACCTAAGGGTTCCTGTGTTTCTGTGTTAACGTGGGGCACTTGTCTCAAGGCATTAGTTTAACACTGAGAAATCTGAAGTACTTGATAGTTGGCTCCATACAAATCGCTTGACCCGCATTGTATTATACTTGGTTGACAAGCCATTACTTCGCAGAGTAGATTAATCTTGCAACATGTTTGGGTGAGTAACTGGACTTCCTTTTGCTTTCCACAGGCCGGCATTCAGAATGGCAGGCTTATCCGCTTTAATCCTCCTTTTGTGTGCTGCTAAAGATGTGATGCCCTCCAGTCCTCACTGGAAGCCAACTTGGCCGTCTTACAGAGTTCCCGTCATCCTGCCACAATCCACTCTTAACTTGGACAAGCCACAGTTTGATGCTGAAGCCAAACTAGAAGTGGTATCTCCCTGTGGCCCAGCATGCCACAAAAGTTCTCCGCTGCCAACTTACGAAGAAGTTAAGAACTACTTGTCCTATGAAACTTTATATGCTAATGGTAGCCTCACTGAAACTGAAGTGGGCATATATATCCTGAGCAACAGCGGTGATGGGTCTCAAGGCAAATCTCGAACTAAGAGGCAGATCTATGGCTATGACAGCAGGTTTAGTATTTTTGGGAAGGACTTCTTGTTGAATTACCCATTCTCCACATCAGTGAAGCTATCTACAGGTTGCACGGGGACGCTAGTGGCTGAAAAGCATGTTCTTACTGCCGCTCATTGTATCCATGATGGCAAGAGTTATGTCAAAGGAGCTCAGAAACTCCGGGTGGGGTTCCTAAAGCCCAGACTGAAAGATGGCAGCAAGGGGGCCAATATCACCAACTCAGCGATGCCTGAGAAAATGAAATTCCAGTGGATCCGAGTGAAACGGACACATGTTCCTAAGGGATGGATCAAAGGCAATGCCAATGACATTGGCATGGATTATGACTATGCCTTGCTGGAGCTCAAGAAACCTCATAAAAGAAAGTTTATGAAGATAGGGGTGAGCCCACCAGCAAGACACTTGCCTGGGGGGAGGATTCACTTCTCTGGCTACGACAATGATCGTCCCGGAAACCTGGTTTACCGTTTCTGTGATGTCAAGGATGAAACGTACGACCTGTTGTACCAGCAGTGCGATGCCCAGCCGGGTGCGAGTGGATCTGGGGTGTACGTGAGGATGTGGAAGAGGCAGAATCACAAATGGGAGCGTAAAATTATTGGAATATTTTCAGGCCATCAGTGGGTGGACATGAATGGCACCCCACAGGATTTCAACGTAGCTGTTCGCATCACCCCCCTCAAATACGCACAGATCTGTTACTGGATTAAAGGCAACTACCTTGACTGCAGGGAAGGATAAAGACAATGAAACTCCTTGAAAGCACTTAATGACTGGTTTTAATTACTTACCTGAGGAAAGGCTAGACTTCTGCTGCAGATGTGTGTGATACGAGCTTGTAACATCGGGATGTGATATATAGGTTTTCAAGCAAGCCACCTTGTTCTCCAGACAAGGGCTGTGTGGTGCTGTCACTACAGCTCGACACTGGGGAGAAAGTAATGTCTGTGGGCTGGGGAAGGAGCAGGTGGACTTGCTGAAGTTGCAGCTGAGCAACTGAAGATTAATTAGGGGCGGATCAGTAAACAGTACGAAATCAGAACCGTCTCCAAAGAGTCTTATAAAAGGGACACTGTTGACTATCTCCTGCCTACGATGTTTGTTTTAATAAATCCTAGGATTAGTAGAAATGCTTTGATCTGAACTTTTAAAAGAAAATATTTCTATGCTGTTGGGGGCTGGAGAGGGGCATCTAATGGTGTTTGCAACCCAAACATTACAGCTTTGAGTTCCTGCATGAGAAAGGGAGTGTGAAAAGGGCAAGGCATGCGCTGTTGGAGATGAATGGCACACAAATAGCATGAAGGGTGAATAGCTGCGTAACACTTCTAACCTTCTTTTGGCCTGAGTGATTTGAGACTTTATTAGTAACATAGTTAAGAAAAATGCTTTTTGTGCCAACAGAGCTTGATCTTGCAAGGACTTGACTGTGAAGATGGTGTGGGTTGTATGAGCAGGGCTACTGCATCCTGCTTTGGGAAGCACAGATCATACATGGGCCTACGTCTTCATAGCAGCTGGGGCATAGCCTTACTCCTAGCAGGATCCCTACAAATATACTGTTACAGGAAGCGTATGGGGACAGAAGGTTGTGTCCCATTATGACCCACTTAGATCTTGTAAGGAAAATCTTGTGTCAGCAACTCAGATTTTCAGAGGGGAAGCCTGTCTTTGGTCTTGCTGGCCATCTGAATTGCTGTCTGCACAGCAGGTAAAGGAGAGAGCTGGACAAGGGTTCTACGGAGTTTTCTCCCTTTTTGTTGAAGATTCATACTGTTCTACCTAAAAATACACCAGGTGGAGGGACCATAGATTAATAAGCGTCTCTGTATCGTATCCCTTTGACAGTGTAATTTGTACAGCATCTTGACTTCTGTTCTTTTCCATCCTACCCATCAAATTGTTGAGTTACAAATAATTCTTGGCAAATGCACAGCTTGGTAATTCTGCAGCTGGAATAGAGCCACCTTACAGGATGTAAGCTGAGTTTGCTATGAAGGGATGCTCTGCTGTCTCTTACAGAAAACAGTGACTTACACTTTTACTGTAGTGGAATTGGAGTTTAAAACAAGAACTGTCTTTTACAGGTAAAATCTTTGCAGCCAGATACTTGTAGCTCAGCAAACAGCATTGGGAAGTCAGTGTGGTCTGTACAAACAGTGTTTCTCCGGTGGCTTGTGCCACTGTATTGGAGTAACTTGGTTGAGTACATGCTACCATGCCAATACAATTTTTTTATATGGGACGATAGACTGGCTCCAGTTCCAGTTTCTCTTCAATCCGTCTCTCACTGTCCCTTGAAGTTTACCAGGTTGCCCTTGGCTCTTGGTGCTGTGGGGCAAATGCAAGTCCCTGGTGTGAAACAACAGAGCTGGGAAGGAATGAATCTAAGCAGAGCTTCCCTGTGCTATAGAAAGAAAATTTTAATTCAGCTAAGCCTCTCTTACACTCCACTAATTACTGTGGCATTTGTAAACATATGCCTGATGGTGCTTTATCTTTGTGATGGCTTTGGCTCTAGTTCTGAAAAACACTTTTTGCTAGAGCTGCCGATGATTATTATTTTTATAGGTGCAGCATACAAAAACATGGACCCTTGTGGGCTTTTGGTGCACTCAGATACAAGCAGTTACTAATGCTTTGAAATATGAATAATCACCATATGTATCTGATGGTCTTTTTCTGCCTTTTTATTTTTATTTCCTTTACTTTATGGCTGTTATCTGGAGCACTTTTGTTTGAATGTATCACAGTGAATAAAGAAAAGTTATGGAATTTCAATGCAGACGTTCTTGTTTTGTACTATACTTGGGTTGCACTTTCAATCTCATTTCAGTTACTTACTTGGATATTAATACAGAACAGATGTTTTAATATCCTCAATGCCGTTTATTTTCCATCAGTTTTATTTTGTCCTCACCTGTTACAGAAGTAATTTTTTTTTTTTTTTGAGTACACATAATTACTCTGGAACTTTGGACAGTAATAACCAACCTTAGCTTTCATGTAATTGTTACAGTTCCAAAGCCAGTCATGAGCTCAGATTAGGTAAAGCTGAAAACAACTTGTTAGACTAAGAGAGTCGCGTTTTTTTGTTTTTTTTTTTTTTTTAAATTAACTTTAGGGTCGATAAACTATGGAGGAACTTGAACTAGTCAGTATAAAGTCATAAATCATGTCCATCTTCTTTTTCTTTTACCTGATGCAGTAAGAAAAAATTCCCTCTGAAGCCAACAGTGAGACCCACAGTTTCTTGAGGAACAGCAGAGTGCAGAAATGTTCTGCTTTTTGATTTGGGAATTGCTGTCCATACACCTTTCCTGATTTCTGGATGTGCACGCTACGTCATAAGGCTTGAGAACATCAGTCCTGGCTTATGGGACCAGTTTCCCATCCACTGGTCCTGTATTCTCAGCTGCTTCCATGGACTGTAGGCTGACATCTTTTAATCTCTCAAGGTGACAGGCAGAGTGGAGTTGTGCAGGTCAGTGAGCTTGGGTAACGTGAGCAAGTTTAAAAAAAACTTAAAATGTATGCGGCAAGCTTAGTTCAATCAGGAGTGGGAGAGTCTCTTTCCACTGTACACCCTGTGCAAACATTCCAGATTGCTTTTGGAAAGAAAAGGAAATCTCAGATAACGTGGGCAGAATTGTGCTAAAGCTCAGCGTTGTTTCACCTGTATTGGTGGTGATTTTGCCAGCGGATTCATTGAGTGGGGTTGGGTTGGAAATTGCATTTGGAGTATATTTGCTTTGATGCTGCAAACAGGGCTCTTTTGAAACCAGACCTTTAAACCATGAGACAGACATGTAGCCAGCATCAGAGAAGCACAAGTAACTAAACTGCGTACAGGCACGACGCTAGGAATTTCATTGTCCAACTGATGATGGCTGCTGGTCTGCAGAACTGAGCCGAGTTCCTTGTTATTCTTGTATCCTAAGGCCAAACAGCAGATGGGTATAGAGGGGCTGCTCCGGTTGTGAATGGAAAGGATTACAGTCTTCTGTTCCTGCATCTTTAAGACAACAGATGAAAAATTCTAGTTAATGTGATACAACCCCCTTGGAGAACAGTGCTGGAGGTGGAAACTGAAGTCTCGAGAAAGCACAGACCGTGCCGAGCTCTTGCAGAGCACACGGTGAACGTAGCCTGGCTGAAGACTGCAGAGCATCACGAAGTTTCTTTCTCAGAGGAAAGGTATTTTCCTTGCGTCTGTAATCGTTTTGCAACTGAATTCCCAGGCCTGCCTTTTAGGAGGGCAGCCCTCGTCTTGAAGTTGCACACTGAACTCCAAGCAAGTATAATACATGCTTGAAATTCTTTTCCGTGTTTCCACTTAATCTGCCGTTTGTTAGCGGGTTTTGGTAGCGTGCCAACACAACACGCACAGGCCCTGAGAAGAGAAGCTTTCAAAGAGTGGATAAAGTACGATGGGTGGATAAAAACCACTTTGCTTTCCTGGAGTAAACAGGAAGCGTGGACACAGCAGAGCAGCAAAGAGGGAAACGGCAGTGTGAGACCTGTCACAGGGAAAAGATTCCTTGTGTATACATGCACATGTATGGATGTGCCCATGTGCAGCATTTTTGTGAGTAATACTCTTCATTTCCATCCCCCCTTCCACTAGGTACAGAAGGAAAATTTCTGAGCTGAATTAAGCCTCTTGAAATGAGTGCGTAAATACCAAATCTGAGATCAGTCTGTAGATACACAGGAAAAGCATGAATCAGTGACGTTAGAATTAGGAACTTGATTTTTTCCACCCAGAAGATGTTTTTTCCTGTCTCAAATGGTAACTATGATGTTGCATGTACATTCTGCCTGCTGCTAAAGGGAGCGTGAGCTTTTGCAGGTAAATGTTAGAGTCATAGAATGGTTTGGGTT